TCAGTTCGTCATGTCCTATTTTCCACTATACAAGTTTAAAAAAAAGTCAAAGCTTTCTCAGTGTGGAAGAGGAGGACAACTTTTACTCTGAAATGGTTCCCAAATGAGTTAGAAAAATCTGATTTTGTTTATTTATCTTTTTCTTTTTGTTCTTTTTCTTTCTTTTCTCGTTCAGCTTTAGCTTCTTCTTCCTCATGTTTTTTGATCAACTGCTCCACTTCCTTTTGTTTGAGGACTCTGATGACCGTCTTCCCATTCTCTCTTGTCAGCGTGGCAATTTCCACTAAAGCAAACACACATTTGTGTTACAGGCAGGGACACGTAGCAAACAACCTAATAGGCAACCATAGTTTCATCTCCTCCCTTCAGTCTTAAATCACCACTCTTGCATGTTGTATGCTTAATATGATTCAGGATATTTATGGACATCAACAGAACACCTTAGACCCTATAATGTTTCTATTTAAATATCTTTCTTCTCCTCCCCGATCTGAACCTTCTGAGCAATTCCTCTGTTAGAGTGTCTGAAAGCTTTAGCCAGTATCTTTAACCAGTCAGAATCTATAACCAGTAATTATACTTCTTACGGACTTTTCAAATCTCTTTTAAAAAAAGTGTGAAAAGCAGCTACACCAAGGCTATGGACAAATAGGCTGATACCAAAATGAGATCGGCAAGGAGGGGAAATTGAGCAGTGACTCCCTGAAATTAAGTAGAAGTAGCCAACAGCGGGCAATCCTAAAGAAATGGCATTTTCTAAGACCAGAAGATAAATTATCCTAAGCCAATTCAATATTAATTTATCACCATTTTGGAAATATCACTTAGAAATATTATTTTATATAGTCATATAACAAGTGAAAGGAAGCAATTAAAATTACAAATTTGATTTTCAACGTAAGAAATTGGAAGACTCAGAAGAACATGCAAGTGTCCGTGTCTAGAAATGTAACTGCACGTGTGTTCATCATGACAGATACCACTGTCAGGAGGTAGATAATAACAAAGTAAAAGTAACACAGCTCAGCGTTCTAACCATGAACACTGAGCACATTCGGGTCCTCGTCCTCCAATCTGAATGCAGTGCAGGAGTGTGGCGCCACGGCTCACCAATGCTTGCCTTGCTTAGCAAAGCAACCTCACTAAGCCTATGTCCTTCAGGAAACAGGTAGCAGGCCACCTATATAAACAGTAACTATAAAGTTACTAGTTCAGTAAACTACATTAACACTCAAGTCCTCTCAAGTAGCCTATGAAGTCAGAGGAGAGGGAGAGGATGTATCAATTACCTTTTTCAGCAGACAGTTTACTAACATCCATGGTTTTATTTAGAACTTTTATAGCTAAAGCAAGTGCTGACTTCAAAGTCATTTCTCCTTCTTTGTAGTCTTGTTTTAACATCGACACAGCTGCCTGTAAAAAACAATCAACAGAGAATTTCCTTTCAATTTTCATGTTTTGGAATAAGGACTGGTCCGTATTATCGCATTATAGCCAAAGAGACAATTTTAATGGCAGGGAGGGTAAACATGCCATGGGGTGACAGGGGTGACATAGAGCCAGCGCTCTATGAATGGGGTCTTCAACTAGGGTCCTTGGATCCTCTGAAAAAGGGATCCGTGGTAGAATTCAGGGGTTCTGTGTACCAGTGTACAGAAAATACATACATCATATTTTCAGAACTTCTCATTGAAAATTAGCATCTCCTCCCATTAACAACATACACAATAAACCCCAGTAGTACTAACAGTACTGCAACCCTGTCACAAATAGAAATCACAGATATTTTCCCTATCATAGTAAGGGCTGCTACAGCAATCTTACAATACTGTTTATACTCAGTGCTATTTAATTATGGTAGTTGTCAGATCTTCTGCTGCATTTTATAGTACCACAAAAATACTCACAGCGCTATTATTTCCAATGCATGTGGCTTTCCATCCCCCATAATTTCCGCTAGGATCACTCTGATAGAGCTGAAAGCCGTAGTGCTTATCCCAGCCAATGTACAACAATGAAACACCAAACGGTCGTTTTCCTTTAACAAAGAAAAAAAGTCAAACACACTTGCAACCTGAATTTAGTATCACTATAGTTACCCGAGCTCAGTTAATGTGGTTAAACCCTTTTCTGTGAAGTCAGGCATTCATAAACTGCACTGTGTTCTGGCCCGCATAGAGATAAGCGCCACCCAAAATTCTACTTTTGTTTCTCTAATTTAGACACAGCCAGGAGAGGGAACACAGCTGAATTTCATTATTATGAAAAAAGCAATTTGCCTCCAGATTTGAAAATGTTATTCTGGCCTTTCAAATGTCTATTTACAAAGCTTATGATAATTTACACAGTGGACGTCAAGTCACGAAGCAGGAACATACAGTGTTTACTTGTCTAATCTTCACTTTCCATTTACTGTCTCAAAAAGAATAACTCATAAAACATTTTTACTTTCTGAAGTAAAATTTCCAAAAACTTCAATACCTCCAAACTGTGTATAAGCTTGTTTGATATCACACAGTGCTGTAACCAACTGCTCACAGGGGATCGGTTCCTGATACTGTAATAAATACCTAGGATAAAGACATTGGCATATTAGTTTTCTCTAAGACAAAGACACACTCTAAACAAAATACCTCTGAAAAGAAATCCATGCCAGGGGACAACATAATAGTCATTTGTAATTTGAAAGTGGGAGAAAAGCACATCAACATGCTAACCGTCTTACAGTAAATAATACTTTACAAGTTTGGGTTTAAAAAAAATCTATTTTTTCTAATATATTTTAAATTACTTCAATCTTTGCAAAAATGAGTTCTCCTTAGAAACATGTAAGCCACGTTGGGCCTCCCTGGTGGCACAGCAAAGACTAAGTGCTATCAAGCTATCGGCAGCCACTGCAGCATGAGTTCGATCCCCAGTTAGGGACATACCCACATGGTGCAGCAGACCTCTCCTGACTCGCCCGCTGCTCCCCTCAACAGTGTATTTCAGTCAGTTTGCCTTTTCTGCTCCCCACCCTGTCTCTGGTGAATCTCTCATCCCCACACCTCTGGCCTCCACCCCAGTCCTTGTATGCATAAAAAAAAAAAAAATCTTTGAAAGAAAAAAACCACGCAAGCCAAGTTAATACCATCAATTATGTTATTTATGACCATACCTTTGAGCAATGAGCCTCAGTTCATTAGTCAGAACATTTGCATCTGAAGTTATGCCTGCCACACTGCAAGCCATGTCCCTGGAGGCAAGACAGGCAATGATTTGAAAGCAAGGAAAATGTTTGCAAGGGGTCTTTACAAGTCCTAAAAAGTACCGAATTCTATTAGAAATTTACAATGCTAGCTTTCACAGCTGCTACACCCTTCAGACAAAAACTATGTTTTATCTTTGTAGGAGACTTTAAACTGGAGGTCATGCCACATGAAAGATAAACTAGTGCACCCTGAAGTTTTTCAGTGATTTGTCATCATGGCCCTGTGAACAGTACAACAGGATGGATACTAAGAGGCTAAAGTAAATCCTGAGATGATGCAGCAAAATAGAAAGGTTTTCCCAGACAGGGATACGACCTACCCCATTCTCTTGGGCAGTAAGTGATCTAATCTCTTTGAACCCTGGGTTGATGGGGGTGAAGGTGAGGGCACCTGAGGGGAGGTGGTTTTCCAGGGCAGCCTAGGAGATCTAGGGTAGGCCCACACTATGGGTGCATTTCATTTCTCTGCTCCTGTTCCTGAGTACTGCCCTGGCTCTCCTATAGCCCAATCCCCTCTGTCTCCACGCCGAGCCGAGCCTGCAAGCTGCCGAGCAGGACCAACAGTGACTATGAACAGATGATATTTCCTCTGATGAGTGTGTCAAAAGGTCTTTATAACCAGCACTGGAGGGAAGGTCTCTGATCAGATAATCCAGCTCTCTGCTAGAGGCACAGCCCTGCACACCCAGTGAACAGAAACCCTACTAAGCGTACAGGGCTCCATTTAACTGTTCTCAGACCTCCAGGAGACCTGGCATTTGGTGATTCATTATAATTCAACAAAACTTCCGAGAAGTCATTTTAAGCAATGCTTTTACAGCTGACTATTAGCTTATCTCATTAACTGCCAGAACCACACTAGAAGTCTCTGAGACTCAGAGAAGGTGGTGCGAGGCCACACAGCTCATATCGGTGGAGCTAAGATTAACCCAAATCTGTGTGAGTACCAAGTCTTGTCACTACAGAGCGCTGCTGCCCCATTAAGTGCACAGCCTTGCACTTAAAAAAATGACACAGGGTCCTGGGCCTCAAGCGCTGTCAGCAAAACTTTTCTCGAGTGAAAACACAATACACTGTGCATTTCAATTCTACCACGTCGAAAGGAAGAGCCTTCTTCCCAGAACACTGGGGAATACACTTATTAAGTAAGATTTTTAAACTGCCTTCCTTAAAGATCTTACTTACTCATTGAGTTTATAAATTTTTTCAGAAAAAAAGACTTCATCAAGAAGCTTGTGTATGTTGCGTCTCTCTGCTGCAAGCAGAACACCATCGTTGGCTAAAATTCCCAAACAGGTGCCTGCATGTCCAATAGCTTCCATGGCATATTCAACTTGGTACAAGCGACCTGCAAAAGACAAGCAGTGTGAAACCTAACTCTCCTCTGCTCGCTCGCCCCAGGGCTAGAGAAACAAGCACAACACTGGCAGGCTACAAACAAGAATCTCACCCACTTTTACTCTTCTATGATATCCACGCAACCTGGTGGTCACAACCAACTAAGTTTGTAGATTTCCCCCTTAAGTCAAATACTTTTTTTTTTTTTTTAATTGAGGCAGATTAAGCAATTTCTTTTTTTACCTTCTGGAGAAAATATAGTGGTCCTCGAGTCATATCTTCGAGACTGTGAAGGAAAAACAGAAAGGTGATTCCTGTCCACTGAAAGCAAGTCAATTCCTTCTGCAAGCCCACAAATCATCTTATAGAACATTCTGGTCCACTAAGTGCAGTGCATGAGAAGAAACTTGTAAGGAAGAAAACACCATTCCCATCTCTTTCTTCCATTTCACTTTTCTCATGCAAAAGTCTGCCAAGTGAGCACCAGCAACATGGTTTATCAGGCAACAGTCTGTGGGTATGTGTTTTAAACTCACCATCTTTTATCTTATCTTTCTACAATTCCTGTAAAAAGAAAAAAGGATAAGTATTAAAACGAAACTTACAAATGAAAAAAATTTATTTCCCTGCTTGAGCTCCGCCTACTAGCCCGGCGAGGGAGGCCCGCACCCACTGTAAAGCAAAGTGTAGACACACACCAGACAGGAGCCAAGAGCTGAACAGGGAGAGGAATGAAGCAGGGACTTTCTGAGAAAATGAATCCAGACGAGCGATGTGAGGCCGACATAAGGCCGAGAACCTCCGAGTCCAAGAGCAAGGGCTGGGAGAGGCGGATGCCGGGAGGAGAGAACGTGACCAAGGGCCGGGGCTAGAGCCGGAGCCGGAGCCGGAGCCAGGCGAGCACCAGGTCTGCGAACACGCGGCCAGTCAGGGGCGCGGCTCTCCGGGGGCTCTGGGTCCCGAGCGCGCGGGGCGCGGGGACCCGCGGCGTCATGACTCTTCCCGAAAAACTCGGCACCGGGGCTCCTTCGGGGTGCGCGGGTGAAAGGTTAAGCGTCGGCCGCCTCCCGCTCCCCGACACGGAGCGCGGCGGGGCGGACAGGTGAGCGCCGGGTCCCGCCGTGCGCGTCCCGGAGACCGCGGGGCTCCGCAGCCCGACAGAGGCCGCCGCGACTCCGCCCGGACGCGCCGGTGGCTCAGAGCGCGGGCGGCGGCGGCCCGGGGGTGCACCGGCAGGGAAGGCCGCGGGGCCACGGGCAGCCGGGCCGGCCGGGCTGCGGCTCTCCAAGGCCGCGCGCCTCCCCGCGCGCCCCCCCCGCCCCCGCGCGCCCCCCGGCCCCCCCCGGCCCACGCCCGCCCCCCCGGCCCCCCTGGCCCACGTCCGCCCCCCGCGCGCCCCCCCCCCGCGCGCCCCACGGTCGGACCTGCCCGAGGAGGCGGGTGCAGAGTCATGGTGCGCGCGGCTCCCGGCGGCGCCCGCAGGCCCGGCCGCGCTCCAGCGCGACGCCCCCGACCCCTGCCCCGCGGAGGGCAGTCGCGTCCCACGAGCTCCCCCGAAAGGCTCACCCGAAAAGGACCCCGAAGAGGGAGGCTCCGGGATTGGGGAGAGAAGCCGCCGCCAGTGCTGAGCGTCCGCGGCCAATATGGCGCCCGCGCCTGCGCAGTCGGGGGGCGGAAGCGGAAGTGTCGGGGGCGGGCAAGGAGCTGCCCTCGTGGGTGCTGGGGACTTGGGGTGCCGGTCCTTGGGGTGCCGGTCCTTGGGGTGCCGAGTCCCTGTCGTCACCCCAGCCGGCGCGCCGCGCAGTGCAGCATGGGGAGGTGGCGCGAAGACCCCGGCCCTGGGGAAGAGCCAGTCCCCCTTTGCACCATTTTCACTTTCACTTTTTTTTTTTTTTTAAGCTCTTTTTTTTTTTAAAGATTATTTATTTATTTATACAAGAACCGGGGTACAGGCCAGATGTGTGGGAGGGTGAGAGGATTCACTAGAGCCGGAGCGGGGAGCAGGCAGACTGACGAAGTACACTGCTGAGGGGAGCAGTGGGAGAGACAGGAGAGGTCTGCCAGCCATGTGGGACTCTCCCCTGGTGGTCAGGGAGCAGCGGGGTATCGAACCAGCGCTGCAGAGCCTGCGGGCAGCTTCGCAGCCCAGTGCTCGACCGCTGCGCCACCGGGGAGGCCCTTCACTTTCACTTTCTAGGGCAGCTCTGGGACATCGCCTGGAGAGCCTGATGTCTGTGACTGGGCAGGGAGGGACACCCCAGGCTCCCAAACCCACCTGCTCTGAATAGGTTCTGCCATCTGCCAGGTCAGCACAAAACATATGAGACTTTAATGGGAAGGAACTTTAGTACAATTAGGAAACAGTACAGGAAAGGCAAAGAATATAGTTTCTAGATCAAGCACCCAAAGTTACCCGTCCCCTCATGGGTAAAAGTCCACCCAAGCGGGACTGGCCCAGAGCAAGGCTCCAAAGCTGCCCCAAGTCTAAAATACCTTCCAGTGGGGACGCACAGAAAAGGGTAAGAAACAACCAGACAATTCTGGGAGGAAAAGAACAAAATCAAGGTAAAAGCTGCCATTGTCACCTCCTCTCCCCCACATCTGCATCACCCAGTCCACGACCACAAGGCTAGCGCAGTTTCTTCACGTGGCTCTCGGCTCCATGTGCCTCCTCCAGGTCTCCTTCTGGCTCCATCCTGCTCCTTCCTTCTCAGTCTCCTCTGCAGCTTCTTCTCTCCCTGCTCAGCTTCACCCTCTCTTGGGTGGGGCAGGGAAACTGGAACCTCCCCCTCTCCTGGGGACCCCCTTTAGTCTCAAGCCCAACTTTGTCCTTCCTCCTGCCTCTCCTTATCCTCCCCTTCTTCAATCTGGCTCCCACTTTTATTGCTGGTGTCCCCAGTGTGCGCTGTTACTGTAGCCCTTGAACCACCACAGGCTCTTGTCCCACAAAGCCATAAAAAGGAATTTGCAGACATTTTAGCTACGTAAGCAGAGAGAAACAAACTTTGCTTAAGAAAGAAAAGTTTATTTGAAGGAAAAAGTGAGGACTCCCAGGTACGCTGTCCTTGGGAGAGGCAAAGAAGTCCTGTGGGCTCTCTCTCCCTCTCTCCTTAGAGCTCACCTCCCTGTCCAAGGTCTTAGTCGTTCAAGTTTTACTGTTTTTGTTTAGTCCTTCTGGACATTCTGACCTCATCTCTGGTGTATGTTTTGCTTAGGACCTCTTAAAAGTTACTCTCCTTGTCACAGAAGCCTCTTTTAACTCCACAGAAGTCCCTGGCTGCACTGTCCCCGAAGCTGCCTAATTAACCCCAACTTGCCCCCAGTACATGCATTTATTGATAAAGCAAATTACAAATAGCAAGAGATATAAAAATTTTGGCATCATTTGAGTCTGGGTAACAAATGGTTGACGTTCTGATCCCAGGCACGTCTGCCTAGGTACCTGGGTTTGCTGAACTAAACCAGCCTGCCACAGACAAACGAGGATTGGTTTGTCCAGCCATGGCTTGACATGACTTTCTACTACTTAGACATGACTTTCTACTACTTAGAACCGCACTGATTGAACACCTCATTTGCACAGAGTAGACCCAAGTGTGGACTAACATTCTTTTCTGTTCATACAAGCACTCCCACGTCAGAGCAGCTTGGGCTCACAACTTGTGATTCTTGTTCTGTGTTCCTTGGGCTACGGTTCTAATAAAACCACCAAATAAACACTTATATTTTGCTTCACTCAGGTGGAGCTCATTCTGGGACAACATAGGTGTCATACCTTTGAACATTCACCTTGGTCATCTCTTCTGCCTTTCACCTCCTCAGAAAAGATTTCCTGGCCCTACCACCACCACACACACACAGCAATTTATCTTTTCTACTGAAACTGTCATAGGTTTATGTGTTCATTATCCATCTCGCCACCCTCTTACTTGGCTTTGGTCCATATATAAACCATCTACAATTCACGTTTAGGTCCTTCTGGCTAGAAGATGACTAGGTCTGGTTTAATGTGTAGTCACTCAGTTTCCTACAAGAAGAGGGCTGCAGGGCCAGGACGTGTCCTTTTTATGTTGGCTGCAAAATTATTATGCGGGATCTGAGCTTTGAAAAGGAGGTAGCCTGAGAATGAATTGTGTTTTAAGCCTCTCGTGTCATTTCTGCTTCTCAGGCACATGGTGAGGTGAATCAAGACAAAATGGCAAAGGGCCACAGCTAGACAGGTGGTGCTCTGAAAGCATCCTCGAACAGAAATGTAAATTAAAGGATCTCTGGGGTTCCCTTCCATCTTAGTTCATCCTGTGGAATTCAGCATGTGGGAAGAATTTTAAGTGAGAGGCAAGGATTTCTTAGGTCAAAGGAAGAGAGATTAGTTGAATTAAAAGAGAGTAGAGGGAGTTTGATTCTGGCAAAAATGGAGAAGACTATGGAAGTAAAGGAGGAAAAACTTTGGGGATAAATTATAGAGCTCCTTGAATATCAGAACTTTTTTCTTATGTAAAGGAAGGTAAAGGTGATGTTTTAGGGTGATGAAGATTCACAATCTCCCATCCCACATTCCTCTTACAATGCTTCCCATTGAGAGATTCTGTATCCCCTTGCTCTCTACCTGGGTAGGCTTGATACAGTAACAAGTACACCATGTGACTACCAAGATAGGTCATAAAAGTTAGAGTTCAATCTTGCTCTTGGGATGGTTGTTATTGGAACCCAGGCACTGTGCTATAAGGGGGCACATACCACATAAAGGGGTGTTTGGCCAACAGTCTGGATGAAGTCCAGCATCACCTGCCAGATATGTGAGTACATATTTCTCCAGATGGTTCTATTCCCCTGTCTCCCCAACCATCAACTCTCCCCCAACATTCAAGTCTTCCCAGCTGAGGCTCCAGGTATGTAGTGCAGAGATAATCTCAAAGTCTGTCTGGATTAGTTACCTACAGAAGCCATGAAATGATAAAATGATTATATGAGGTTTAAAATGTTAAGTTTTTGGTTAAATTATCACTCTGTGCTAACAATAACTATAACTAGAGCTTTTATCTGCCTCTAATATGAAGGAAGTAAGGTAAGAAGACCAGAAAGCAAAGCTCTGGAGTAGTCTAGAAGGGGTAAAAGCCTGGACAGGAAAAGATACTCGAAAGAGCAGTTCTTATACAAATACCAAAACATTATATTGCCTACCCGGAATATGTATGTCAATTAAAAAAAAAAAGAGAGAGAGCAGTTGCCACTTTTAAGGCTCTATAAAATGTGCTCATGCACAAAATCCCTCAGGAAGAGTGATCCATTGCACGTGAGGCACTGCACTCCGCCAATCTATAGACTGTTTTCCCTAGAATAAAGGTCTTTCAACTGGTTATTAAATTGCTTTGATTTTTTTGGGCCTCCCTGTGGCCTCCCTGGTGGCGCAAGGGGTTAAGCACCACACTATGAAGCAATCCGAAGCCTCTGCAGCACGAGTTCCATCCCCGGTCATGGAGCTACCCACATGGCAAAGCTGACCTCTCCTGTCTGCCCGTTGCTCCCCTCAGCAGTGTATTTCAGTCAGTCTGCCTGTTCTGTTCTCCACTCTGTCTCTGGTGAATCCTCTCACCCCCCGCATCTCTGGCCTGTACCCCAGCTCTTGTATGCATAAATAAACATTTTTAAAAATTTGTTTTGATTTTGTCATTTGACACTTCCCATTGGTTGAAAGGACCAGGGACTGGTATGTGTAGAAGGACATTCATTCTTATAATTCATCCAACAGATCTTTACGAAGGGTCAGCTAGGGATCTTGCTTGATTATATGTGAAGATTATATTTGATCTTGAAGATTATATGTGATATTATTCAATTTATGCCACCGAGAGTTTATAAACTACACAGAACTGACTGGAAAC